GTTCAGGAGTTTACCAACACTCATTATCCAAACAGAGCTGAGGCCAACAGGATCAATGATCTCTACGATGACACCTTTGTCCGTCATTTCCGACAGGTGTTAAAGAAGAAAGAGAAACAGACCACCTTGGTCATGTTTTTCAAGAAGTCAGCGGGCAAAAAACAAAGGATGGAACAAGAGGAGTTGACCTTGCAAGTTCCGGTAGCCTCTCCTGAATCTGACTCCGATTAAAAACCAATAAAAAAAGACCCGCTGCAATGTGTAAAAAGTCTGTATCTGTATGAATGTGTAAAGAAAGTGTTCTTCCACTTCCTTCTCATAACATCTGACTACCCGGCATAATTGGTGTCTGCTCCATTTTCATTTTTTTATGGTACAGTACGGTTATTTTATGCTGCGGAACGAATTATATGTTTTAACATGTATTTCTATGGGAAAATGTGTTTCGTATAACGGACGTGCACCTGGAACGGATTAAGTACGTTGTATGAGGCATCACTGTAGAATGTATTGAGGAGAAAAAGAAGAAAGGTCAATTTTATGTTTTTTAAAAGAAAAATGTACACATTTTAAGAGTTACAATTTAATATTTTTATTATTGTTTAGCAGTATCTTTAATTAAAAATAGTTTTACATTTTGAATAAATACATATTATTGAATAAAACAATTATATTTCAGGAAGATAAAATTTATGGTAGGAAAGCTGATGTTGTAAGAGCTGCTTATTATGCTGCTGAGGCAGCTTTACGATTAGTTAAACCAGGAGGTGAAGTAAGTATTATAATTATATTCTGTATTAATAAGTTTATTATATAATATGATGATAAAATTTCAGTTTTGAATATGAATCATTTGTTTGGCTTAAATTAAACCAGGGGTTGCCAAACTTTTTTAACCGTTGGCCCCCAACCACTTTCCAAAGCCTCACATTGACCCCCACCGTAAAGTTTTATTACAAGTGTATGTGTATGAGGATAAAAAAAAGGGTGTGACCCCTCAATCGACCCACCCAATGATGTTGCATCAACCCCCGGGAGGTCTATATCGACCACTTTGGCGACCCCTGGCTTAAACTAGCATTGTCTATTTAAGTGATTGTGATTGCATTATGGCTGTATAATTTTAAAAATGTTGATTTTTCCTGTTACATTCTAATTTTTGCTTTATTTTAGATACTTTTTAGGAAAATTTAGAACATTTTGATTTTTTTTTCAAGTTTGTTTAATTTAATTTGGACAAGTTTTACTTTATAAAAAAAAATTCAGTAGAAATGTTTATCTGAATCAGTGTTTCTCAACCTCTAACGAATCGTCGCCCCCTTCAACATAGTATTGTCCCCTTCAATAAAATCGTTACATAGTATCGCCCCCTTCACTTCAAAATTCCAATGCCCAGCGCCAAGGCTAACGCCAAATTCGTACTGTGTTGAATAGACTAGTAACTGTATAATGTTATTTGTTTAATTATTGTACGATATAACAAATAAAATATCTAATTATTTTTAATATAATGTTTTACTATATCACCCAGAAAATTATTTTTCACCCCCCAAAATATAAATTGTTACTAATTGCCCCTTCAACATGGAAAAATGCCCACATGAGGGCGATATCGTCCCCGTTGAGAAACACTGATCTAAATTATCAATTATTTTTGTAATTTGCATTCAAGTTACGGTAGAGCCACATTTTTCATCCATGGAACTCTGCAAGAGTCTGTTGTCCATCATGGTATGGGGGTTTTAGGGGGTCTATGACACAAGAAACATTGAGAACTACTGTCAGTTATCCAAAAAAATGATTAATCAAAATTGACTTTGGAGATACTAATTTCAGAAATTATGAAGTTTTTACATTATAATGATTGTTGATGATCTATAGGCCTGCTATTGAGCTATGTTGTTACTAATTTTACTATTATGTACAGTAGACCCCCTATAACACGGGTTCATATAATACAGATTCTTATAACACGGTGAAAAAATTGTGATCATATTTATATAAACACGCTAAAAGAGACTCGTATAATACAGTAAAACGTCATCAACAACTCATGTCATGACAGGATTGGTCCAATCTAGATCAATAGCGGATATTGCACAAACCGTTGAGTTTAAACAAGCACTGGACCTACTAAAAACATTTCTTATTCAACGGCTATAAAAATTATTTATATTAATGATGTCTCCAAAGTTCAGCAAATTATTCACAGAAAAATAACTTATCAGAAAACATGCCCGCCGTTTGATGCACCACTCTGCGACAAAAACAAGCTTAAGCAATGGTATTGTCAAACGGTGCGCACTTGGTAAGTAATCCTACAATTTTTTGTTTATAGCATAGTTTATATGGATTATTCCCAAGAAATTATACGTGTTTTGGAAATGTTGAGTCAAATTAGTCTAGAATCGATTAATTTTATGGAAGAAAACCTGCACACGTGTCAAACTGTGATTGGCTCATGTATTTAAGTGACTCGTAAAACATGGAATTCATATAAAACAGAACATATCTACTGTGTTATAGGGAGGTCTACTGTATTTTTTATTTTGAATTTAAGGTTTATCAGCATGTTATAGATTGGAAAGAAAGACTGGTGCTTGTTTTTAATTAGATAATTTTTTTATTTCTAATCATTTGTATGTATTAAATTTATATGCTTTAACCTTTTTTTAATTTTTACCTTTTTACTAGAATTAAAATTAATATTTTTAGCTTATTTAAGATATTTATTTTTTATTCTTTTCTAACTAGGTGTGATCAGTTATCTAAAATTGTCCTGCTTTTGATTATTTCAGATAATCATCGCACTATTGTATACACATGCATCTTGAAAATTTTATCAGAACAATGAAATTTAATTAATACATGCTAATAAATGTTTTATATAATTTTAATATAATTAATTTAGATTAGTATAAACTATAGATTTTAAATTATAAATTTTATGACTACTATTTGGACATCAAAAATTTTAACCAAAAACTTAGATTGTTAAATTCTTGGTGAAATTTATTCAAGTGAATAGTTATTTATAAAAGAAAAATAAGTTTAGTTTACTTTTTTCAGTATGTCAAGGATGTTATGTGGAATAAAATATTTCATTTTAATCCTTGTTAGATATGCTACTTTACTAACATAGGCAGATAAGCTGAGTTCACTGGACTTGTGTAATTTAAAAAACTTATATTAAATGACAGTTTTATTCTTTTTATTATTGTGTGTTTATAAGCAAGGTTGAAGAATATATTTAAACTTTATTTATTATACTGAGTTACAAAAAAGAAAAATTAATTTTTCGATAATTTATGCATACATGAGTTTTACATGTATTACAAGTTTAATGTTGCAATTTTTTTTTTATGAAAAACACACTATGCAACATTTTATAGGCAGTCCTACATAAGTGTCATCAGTTTGCACTTATTGGATAATTCCTCTACATTGGTTGCTTACTGTTATTATTGTTTTTCATTATTGCTTATTATTACTGTTCAGCTTTTCATCATTCAATATGTGGTCTTACTAGTCCTTCAGCAACTTCTTGTAAAAAAATTCCTTCTTTTAAACTTTTTATTTTCATTTACTTGTGGAAACCTGTTGAGCTATATTTTATAGGCTGCCCCTCTGCAAATTACAATTTGCCCAGATTTTGACTAACTATTACTTATAATTGTATGTATCATTGCAAGTTTGTGCAGACAACAGTAAAGTTAGTTTAAACATGTACAGCACATCCATGTGAAAGAATTCTTTTCCCACAGTATTGACTTGCTTATCAAGCACTGGTGTAAGTGCATTTAACTGGAAGGGTTTGTGTTTTAAATGGTGATAATGTAAATACAGTAATGCTTCGACTTACGCAAACCCAGAGTTACGCGATTTTCAAATCTCGTCAATTCGTCTTTTGTTTGAGTGCCATGCAACTCTTGATTACTCACTCCCCACACACCATTGTTCAGCTTACATGTTCGGGCGTGTCGTGCAGAATTGACACATAGCTACAATTTATTTTGTGTTATTTATTTCTGTGTTTGTTATATCTACGGAGACTTAAGAGACTCTACTATGTCATCCAAATGAAGTAGAACTGATTCTTCTGCATCAAACAAGAAAAGAAAAACTTTATCTTTGGAATGTAACATTAAAGTTAACATTATTAAAGACTTCGATACAAAAATGAAAATATGTGATTGGCAAAGAAGTTTGATCTACCAGACTCGACAATCAGAAGAATTATAAAAGGTAAAGCAAAAAAAATGCTCAATTTTTAAAGTCAAGCATCATTTTGAAAACATCACAGTATTATCGCTGAGATGGAAACAATGTTAAAATTATGGTGATAATCAAGTAAATGTGAAAAATTGTCCTGTTGATCAGAACACTTCATGCTCTCAAACTAAGCTGATTTTTGAGAGATTGAGAGAGGATGCTGGAGAAGTGGCTAAAGATGAAGAGTTTAAAACTAGTAACGGTTGGTTCATCCAATTCAAAAGTTTCTGTAATTGGCTTAGCATTGCAGAAAGTGGAGAGGCGACAAGTGCTGATAAATAGGCTGTGTCTTATTATCCAGAGAAATTCAAAGCTATGATAGATGAAGGTGTCTCTACCAGCCAAAACATATTCAACGTAGATGAGATTGTCCTGTTCTGGAAGAAGATGCCTAAAAGAACTTTTATCGTGCATGAAGAGAAAACCTTTCCAGGTTTTAATTAAGGCCACCAAAGATCAATTGACAGTGATGGTTAGCGCAAATGCAACTGGTGATTGAAGTTAAAACCTCTCTTAGTTTATCACTCGGAAAATCCTAGAGCATTGAAAAATAAATCGAAAGCTGGCTTACCTGTGATTTGGAGTTGAATCGTAAAGCTTTGGGTGTCAGCTTCCCTTTTTCAGAACTGGTTTGGTCATCACTTCATATCTGAAAGTCGAACATTATTGCCAATCTTAACAAATTCCATTTAAAGTGATGCTAATAATCGACAATGCACCAGGTCACTCCCCTGCAACTTTAACTAATTTTGACCCACATGTGAAAGTTGTATTTTTTCCACCAAATACAACCAACTTGCTTCAACCAGTGGATCAGGGACTCATCAAAACATTCAAAGCTTATTACAAGAGATGATCGTTTGCACGTCTGCATGAAGCTATTAGACAAAACAACGAGCTCTCTGTTAAAGACTTTTGGAAACAATTCAATGTTTTAGATGCAGTGAGAATCATTGGACAATCTTGGAATGAAGTTTCACGAAAAACTTTAAATGGCTTCTGGAAAAAACTGTGTCCCTTTTTTTTTACCACTGAAACTCAGGAGGGATCAGTGCCAGAGCCTGATGAAATCGGTAAGAATTGAAGAAATGTGATTGAAGAAGTTGTTGAACTTGCCAGGCAAATAAATTTAGAAGTGGATAGCGACGAAATTCAAGAACTGCTGGATTCCCACAATCAGGAGCTGACAATTGATGAGCTCATAGAAAGCAAGAGCAAGACATTGAAGAACTTGATTCTTTAGACTCAGTTCAATCAGAAGATCAAATAACGGTTGGAAACTTGACAGAAGGCCTCAGTTCAATTGAAAAGGAATTACAAATTTTAGAACTTTTAGACTCCAACGAAGAGCGCATTTCTTCTACAAAATGAGAAATAAAAAAATTATTAGTATGTTACGAGGAAATTTTATGGGAGAAAAAAATCTTTGAGCCGTCAGATGAATTTGTTAGATTTTATGAAGTCTTCTACATCAAAATAACTTTGGCTTACAATTTTAATAATATAATTTATTATACATATGTATTATCTAAGATTTTATTAAACATTTTTTTTCTAAATTATTGTTTTCTTTAGTTTTCAGCCCCAATTAAAAATAATTTGTATGTATTTATATGTGAAATTATATCCACTTATGTGAATTTGACTTACACGGTTATTGCTTGGTCTCACCTATCACATAAGTTCAGGGTATTACTGTACTACAGTTTTTCTAATAAATATTTTGTAAAAAAATATTTCCAGGTGTCCATTGAATGCACCTTGTATTTTAGTACTTATTTAAAATTATGCAGACAGAATATGTAAATTTTTATATATAGTTGTTTAAAATATAGTAGATAAATTTAACTGAAAATATTATTAATAAAACATTATGTGTATTAAAATTTAAAAAATTATTTAACTTGTCTTTTGTGTAATGAATGGATATTTTGAAGATTTAATAAATAAATAAAACCAGAAATTGAACTGGCTGCAGAATTTTTTTAAAATTTTTCAGATTGCACTTTAAAAATACTCACTCAAAAACCTTTCACCTTTCAATGCAGTATATATAACTTTATTCTAACATTTTCAATCATTTTTAATGGCATTTGTTCTTATTAGAATGTTTTTACAGAAGAAGATCGTTGAAATGATTGAAAACAGAATAGAGTTATATATTTTGCATTAAAAGGTTTTTGAGTGAGTATTTCTAGATTGCACATTCACATTCTGTTTAGCATGAACAGTTGTGTTGTTTGGTTTTTATAGGGACTGTCATTTGGAAAGAGTGCATTATAACAGTCATGACTTGTGACATTGCTCTTAATCTGAATTAAGACATTTTTGAAATTATTTACTATTAGCTTTATAGAAAGAAATATTAAATATTATGAATGCTTAACTATAGATTTAGAATATAAATTTTTATTCATTTTATCATCATCGAGTTTTTATAATGTTTATAGTGAATATAATATAATTTTTTTTTTCTTTCAGAATTCAGCTGTTACTGATGCTGTCCAAAAAGTAGCAGAATCGTTTAAATGTAGACCTGTTGAAGGTAATATATTTTCATTTACATTATTTTTTTGCAATATCATTATTTCTCTAAATTTAACTCATCCTTGAATAGTAGCATGTTTAAATTATTTTATAAAGGTAAATATTTTTGTAATTAATTAACAATAAAAGTTTAAATATATTCCAAATACAGTGGGTGATCGGTTAATAAACATAACCTGTTCCAAGACTTTGTTTGTTAAATTAACCGATTATAGATTTACCATAGGTTTTTATAGGAATTTGATTAATTTGTTCCAGAGACTCCAAAAAATAAAAAATATATACTATTTTTTTACTGCGTTTATTTATATTTAATAGTAAAAATACATATATATGCAGTCTTGCATTTTTATTAGTCATGTTTTTTTCCATTTGTGGGGATTAATGAATCTGTCCAATGTCAATTGCTTTTCTCTTTTTCAGGATTTTTCAGAAGTAATTAATCATTTTGTATAATAATAGTATTGTAATTGTAGAGATCCGCAATCCCATTAACCTTATTCTGGTTTGGATGCCACGTGGATGATCATTGTTCTGACATTCTCTCACTACTTCAAAAGATCTTTAGTAGCAGACGTTGACATTGGTCCTCTTTCTTCTTCCTCTTTTTCAAAAGAAAACACATCTCGCTGAGTTTCTTGGTATTCTTTATTTGAGAGTTCTTGGAGTTCTTCTGTCGTCATATCAGTTTCAGGTTCCATTATGAGCTCTAAAATGCTCTTTATTTCACAGATGTGATTTTTGTTACTCCATTAGCAGCTTGAGACTTCTTGATATATCTTTATTAGTTAAGATTGTGCCTACTGTAGACCTGTTCAAGCCATACTGCCTAGCAACATCAGACATCTTGTGCCCACTTTCTCCCGTGGCTATTATCTCTTACTTGGTTTCTATGGTGAGCACAGTTCTTGACACTCCTCGTTTTAGGCTCCATAATAGTATCAGTTTCTTTTTTAAATAAAAAGTTCAGAAAAGCACTTACAAAAATTCAGAGAACAGAAATCAACTAGCCCACAAAAAATTATTTAAATGCAAGGCCTGAATGAAATTCGAAATTTGGTATTAAAACATTAATGAATATCTGACAGGACAGTTAAACTTTCACCTTTCGTAAATAAACCTTGACACAAAACTTAGAGTGCCCATCTGACAGTCTCACGAAGACTATAAAAAATTATTTGTCAGAAAGGTAAACAAAAACCTGGAATTACAAGAAAGAGGTTCAAAATTTGGAGGAATACTATCTGATTGGTATTGGGTTGAGCATCAATTTTGATGTCTTCTGCGCTCCAAAAGGTTTCGAATTATTACCTGAAGACAAGGGAAAATTAATCAGTATTCGTTATTTTTTCTGTCGCTTTTTTTTTTTTTTTTTGTGTGTGTGTGTGTGTGTTTGTTCAGTAAAGTGTTCGTTGTCTGATCATAAAAATCTTTCAAAAAATGTTCGTTCCGATTTGTTTGCTATCCGAACTGTTCATTAACTGATCACCCACTGTAATTTATTATATAAATCATTTAAAGTAATGTTAATGAGAATAGCACAATCTATAAGAAATGAACAAACAATTAAATTTATAAATGCATAATTTTAGTTAAAATTTGTATAGAAAGCAGATTTAATTTTGATTAAATTTTAACAATAAGAAATTGAGAAGATAATTGTTTGTTCTGTTAAGCTACAGCAATGCAACACTTGGGTGATCTGACTAGGAGAATGCTGTCTGGGAGGTCTTTTTAAGGGTAACTGGCCCCATTCAGGCATTATAGATGCAGAGAAACCCGGAAAACTTTCAGTGGCCAAGTGATTCCATTCCCTGATCCATTTCCTTGCCAGGAAGATAATTTTATGTATATAAATGTATGATATCAAAATATATTTTCTGAATGGCAGTTAAAGTAATGAAAAAGTTTGCAAGAAGAAATGAAAATGAAGACTTAAAATAAGTAATTTAAGTTGCCTAAAGTCATGTGTTTGTAAATAGACAGAAAATATGTTAAAGTAATATATTATTAGTCAACAGATAATTTTTACACGAAAAAGTTAAAAATAAAACAAATAAGGACGAGTTGACAAATCATTTGTATCACTTCAGACATTTTATCTTATATTTCCTATTTGATATTAATTAATATGCAAATTAATATTGAAACTCATATCATCTTGATATTTTAGATATTTATTACTGCATATTTAATTTTTTGTCAAGAAAAAATTGATTTTTGTTTTAAAATTTTTTATTATAGTGTAAAAGGTATGATTAAAGCAACCAGTTTTCAAAATCATACTTACTTTAAAATTAAATTTATGAGTGAAAATTAAAAAAAATAATAGAGTTAATAAAAAGAACTATTTATTAATACATATTTTATCAAAAATAATGAAAATATCCGACATATAATACAGTAATAATGATTAAATAATAATTGTTTATGTTAATACTAGCAAAGAATGCCCACATTGCTTTTGGGAACTCAGGGAAAGGGTTTATTACAATGATCGCAACATACTTTGTCTTTTCCAATTTTTTGAAATTATTCCAAACCTCCAACTTATATGCAACATTCATTTTGGTCTAAATCAAATGAAATATTTTAAATATTTTTATCAATAAAACTAATAATGAAAGAATGATGCGAAGAATATTATTAGAATAGACATTAATAAATTTACTTACATTGTTTTTGTTTTTACTTACCAAAACAAGAATAATAACAAGCAGTAAGCTTCTTGTTATTCTTGTTGTTATTCTTATGCTTGTTGTTATTCTTATGTTAACATAAGAATAATAACAAGCAGTAAGCTTGTTGTTATTCTTATGTTATAACAAGCTTATTGCTTGTTAAACTTTCTATTTCTGCTTGTGATCAAACTCAAGGGTGAATGGAGCTGTTTTAGCACATTGTGTACTGTGTAGTATGGGTAGTATACAGGACTAAACTGGTCTAGTCTGGTGGGGTACACATAAGCAACATAGCTGATGTCATCAGTTAGTCTGCATGCTGTCACTTAGAATAGCATAATAGAATGCATTTGGGGATTTGCATGTCAAACATTTGCTTGACTTGTGAAGATTAGTTTTAGTAGAATATGCTTGCACTTAGCATGAGGCAATTTCAAAACAAAATGTTTATTTATATACAGTAATATCCTGAACTTACGCGATAGGTGGGATCAAGCGATAATCGCGTAAGTCGGGGTATAATTTTGCAATTTGTCTAAAATCCAAGTCGGATGTATTTAAGCTAATAAATGTTCTCGTTAATCTTATCTCGTCTTTTGATTCGTTCACGGTTACAAGAAATCACCATATAGAGTCTCTCAAGTCTCCTTAGATATAACAAACACAGAAATAAATAACACAAAATAAATTGTAGCTATGTGTCGATTCCACGCGGCACGTCCGAACATGTAAGCTAAACAATAGTGTGGGGGGAGTGAGTAATCAAGAGTTGCATGGCGCTCAAACAAAAGACGAATCGATGAGATTTGAAAATCGCGTAACTCCGGGTTCGCATAAGTCGAGGTATTACTGTATTTATATCAGGTTGATTCAAAGGTTCCTGGACACAGACACAAGATACAAAACTTTATTGATATTAAAACACAAAGACAGCCCATTCTTCAAAATAAAGCATTGTTTTAATAAAACAAAATTGTTAGCAGTGGTCTTGACTCATCTTTTTGCAAAATTGGTGGATTCCTTGGCAAACCACTTGGCTGGTTTTGATATCAAAATTCATGAACCTCATTTTCAGCATCTTGCGCTATATTGAAGAAATGCCCTTGCACAAAATGTACCAACAATCAGAAGTGAAAATTTGATGGAGCAAGGTCAGAGCTGTATGCTGAGTAAGACCAAACTTTGATCCCCTTCAGGTTCTCTAACTTGGACCACTCTGGAATAGTTTGCCAGAGCATTATCATGCTACAGCAGTGTACACTTTTGATTAATGCTGGATAGCAAGTGTGCAGGACTTCAAACACTCTCTCAGTTGCTTAGCATAGAGATTACTGTCCACAGCTTGGCCGTTAGGAACCGGTTTCTATTGTACTGGACCATCCAAATTTCAGCAATAGTTGTCTAGATCAAGACTTGTCTATGATGCTGGTGTTCCTAGAATTGAAGCAGCAGAACCATTCAGCTGCAGTTGTTTTGTTCATCGAGCATAGGTCTTCAATTTTGCAAATTTTCTCTGCTGCAACCCTTGCACTGAACCCTTGTCTCCAGTAATGATCAATGTGATTGATTAGTTTTTCGTCAATCATTCTTTGTTGTGGAAAACAAAATTCACCAAAGGAATAAATGCAACAACACTATAAAATGATAGTACTGTACATGCTTTTATGATGATACAAATACTAGCTAATTTGCATTCACAGCAGTTTTGCAAGTGCTAGAAATTTTTTTCATAAAAGTGTTATCAGTGCACAGGAATTTTTGAATCACTCTGATATATATATTACNTTAATAATTAAATTCTAAGTATTTGGTACTAGAGGTAGGCAATTTAATAATTATAATTAAATTAATATTTATTAAATAATTTAGAATATTCTGGAAGAAAAGGATCAGCTCAGAGTGGAACTTGAACCCACAACTCCTGTTTACTGTGCGGATGCATTGCCAATTGCTGCTTGCAGCTCCCACTTACAGTACTGATGCATTGCCAGATCATTTGGTTTTGATTAATAACGTTACACCTTGAGGTGTTTAAATATGTATATATACACCATTCTGGGGTAAAGCAATAACCATGGTCATTCACTGAAATTCTAAGTTAGTGTGTCAAATCATAGACAGAATTATGCTAGTGCATTAACTGGCATAATTTTGTATCAGTAAACTACTCATTAATTAGGGACAAATAGCAGATATATAAAATTAATCCTAAATTGTATTTTTCCCTTAAATGGTCATTTGCTAGTCTAGTCACCCTGTGTTCCTGGATAGAAGTGTTTTTCTGATATTAAAAAAAACTAAAGTACATGGAATTATTTTTTTTTAATATCTTGAGATGTTGGATGATCTAGAGCAGTGTTCTTCTCCCTTGAGTTCACAGCTGCGACCAGTTCATGGAAATCCCCTTCCAGTCCACAAAAAATTTTATAGACTAATGTCACTAACTAAAAACTGCAAATTTAGAACAAAATAAAATTATTATTTAGGTATGTTGTCATATCAATTAAAACAATATAGGATAGATGGAGAAAAATCTATTATTCAGAATCCTACAGAAGCTCAAAGGTAACTAAATTTGATTTAATGTTATATTATAAGCAATAATAATGATGGACTAATGAACAAGTAAACATTTATTTTCATATTCTGTTTAGTTTTTATTTGAAAACAGTTTGAATTGTTTCTTTAATTGGTAATATAAATAAAAATTTTAAAAAAATATGTAGAATATTAGAATTAGTACTTAATTAACAAAAAGGAAAGTTTCCCTGTGTTAAGTAAATTTTACAAAAGTATTGTAACAGCTTTTAAGTTGTAAAACTTATACAGTTATTTTACAGTTGGTTCCATATAAACATGTTTTAAACATAGTCGAAGAAGACAATTTATTAGAGATGACAGAACAGAAACAGATAATTTTTATACAGCACTAATTCAAGTTGAATTCCTTTAACTTAGGTTTTAAGTATTCTACAATTTTAAAGTAGTAGTTATATAATTTATAAAGATCTTTTTTATTGAGATTATTAAAGTTCTTTTTGAATTTGAGAGATGAACTGCAATGGAGTAGCCACATGATATCTTCTGTGTCATTCATAATTGCAAAGTTGTAATAGATGGAACATTGAGAATGTTTAAAATTTACACCAAATGCATGGAGTGTTTGAGAAGTTGATATAAATGTTACTAATAAAAAGAGGGTATTTGTTGAGACATAATTTGGCTATTAATCTTTTTACATTGAGGTTTATTGATTTAGTCATATACGGTTGAAAAGATGGAATATGTAATAAATTTATATATCAAGGGTGATAATTACATTGATTTAGGTTAGTTTGGTCTTTATTTATAGATTGAGATATTGCAGTATCCATCTGTAGTGTATAGCCATATTTCCAGTCCTGAAGATTATCTTTAAACAACAGGTACGATACTCCAAATTCAATATTCTGTGGAATTTGGTTTGCCAAAGCTGCTCTGTTCTTGAATTTTTACTTTTTTTAATTACTTCCTAGTGTATAATGGTTATATTATTATCACTTTTGAATTTCAGTCAGGTAATACAATTTAATTATTCATTTTAGAAAAAAGGAAAGGACCAAATACAGTTGGTTTCATAGCATATGGCATAGCCTGGAATAGACCTTTCTAGATGTACAAAGTAGTTTACAAAGGAAGTAAATATGGAACATTCAAGTTTGTACAGATAATCTAGACCCCAAATTGGACTTGCATAATAAACGATAGGATTAATTATTGAATTATAAAGTTTCATATGTATGTGCAAGTTTGTAGTTTTCAGAGTTGAGTATAAATACAATAGATTGTCAATAGCTTGCTTCACTATATTATTAATACAAGAGAGATGTGCTTTAAATGTGGCATTCCAATCAAATGTGACTCCCAGGAAGTTAACTTCTTTTACTATTTGTAAAAGGGTATTGTCTAGGTATAACTTAGATTCTTTTTTCGAAATTTTATTGTTGTTGCAGAATATGATAACCTTTGTTTTTGCAGGATTTATTGTCAAGTAAATTTATTTCAAGTAAGAGTTTAGTTGATTAATTTTTCTTTGAAGGCTGATTTTGGTTGGATCTAAAATTACCAGGTCATCTACGAATTGAATATAATGAAAAGCTTTATTACCGACTTCGATGCCATCAGTAAGATTATGGAAAATTTGATCTATTTCAAATAAGTAAAAATTGAGTAAATAAGGTAAAAGAGGGTCACCCTGGAGTATGCCACATGATAGGTCTAGTGGAGGAGATATAGTTTTACCCTATTTTATTTTTATATTATATTTTGAGAGTAGTTTTAGTATTGTTGATGAAAATTGTGCACCTGCATCTTTAGCCTCAAATTGTTCACCAATAAGTTAACATAGACTGAGTTGAATGCTTTTTGAATATCTATAAATGACACACTTTTTTTGTTTGGAGAAAGACGATCACCCTTTTTTATACATCATTGTGAGTATAACGGAGTTCCAAGAGTCTGGATATAAGATTGCTTTATACATTGAATTAAATAAATTTAATAGTTTTATTCTTGCTTGATACGGAAGCATCTTCAGGAATTTGATTGGAATGTAGTCACTACCTGGGGTTGAGCTACTTCTAGTTTTATTGATGGTGTCTTCTAGTTAGTTAATTGTGAATTTGGAGTCTGAGTGTTCATTGTAGGGATCAATGTTAGGCATTAGTTGTGGAATTGGTTGAGAATCTGGAAATTGCTGGTAAAAGTTTCTCCATGTATCATTGTTTATTATTGAGGGATTTTCCAAAACGGTTTACTATCCTTGCTATTTTTGATTAAGGATGATTTGAGATTTCTAAAATAATTTTTCTTTTTGACTTTGAGAAGATTATTATAAGTGTGATTTGCCTTCCTTCCTGTAGTTAATAAAATTTGTCATTTGAGTCTTTTCTGAATAGTTTTAAACTGGTTTGTTTTGTTTTTTTCATGTTATAATAGTCGAAGTCATACCAGGGTTTTTTGAATCTATTATGAATATTATCTTTGGCATTTTTAATTTGTATATAGCCGTTCATTATGTGAATTATAAGTTTATAGATCTTTTCACTGTTAAAATTGATTATTTCTGAGATGTTGGTGAATCGGTTTTTGATTTCAGCTCAATAACCTGAAATATTGCAGTTTATCCTTTGTTGTCTTTTAGGCAAACTAGTTGATTTCTTTTGCAGAAACAATAGAAAATTTGTTACAGTGGGAAAATGATTGGATGCATTGAAGATATTGTGGTAAATTCCAAACAGTAATCTAGTAAAAATTCAGAACACATTGTAAGATCAATAGTGGATTTCCCACTGTGGACCAGACAAGTATATTCTGCAGGGTAATCAGGTTTAATGCGGCCATTTAAAATGTACAGTTTATCATCAGTTATTATTTCAATCAAGTTTGCTTTGAGTCTATTGGTGTACTTATCCTTGGATTGACAGATATTTTGAATAAGAGAATTGGGGCTGCCATACCAGGAGTCAATCAATTTGACAATATGTGAGTTGAAGTCTCCCGTTAACCTGTTCTACGTTGTTCCCGAAAATATTTGTGTTGACCTTATTGAGCTGCGTGGGCAATCCCGAATATTTTCGTGTTTATATCGGAACGTTTTTGATACTAGATGTTGCTATGTGTCACAATGTTTATATTAAAACAAACTTTTAAAATATAATTTTTTTGTTTCTGTATTATTCAATATATTTATTTTGTTTGGAAAACATAAAAAAAATAATTTTTTACGATACAGTAAATACGATTATTATTTAAAAAAAAAATTTTAGGTTTAACATCCACAAAAATTCAACATGGTGTCACAGGCAAAAAATAAAAATTTCAACATAGAATAGGTTAATAGGATATATGGAGTGATATGTTGCCATGATTCTATTATTTTAAAAGTTTCGTGTAATTTTGCTAAGCATTTGGGGGGAATGTAGGTATTCATCACTGTGATTAATTTGTTGTTTATATTTCCAAGTATGAGTATTATTAGTAGAGATTAATAGTAGTATGAAGTTATCAGATTTTTTAACTTGGATTATTTTACCGGGATCCTTTTTAATTAAAATACATAGACCACCACTTGGATGTCCTAGACCCAGTGACTTGCTTGCCAATAGGGTTTCTGGTATAAATTCATTGAAAAAATTTGATTTATAAAACAGGTCAGATGTTATCCACATTTCAGTTATACTGATTATATCTGATTTAAATTTTGATTGAAGGGAGTTGAGTAGTAGTAATGTGTATTTGAGACCTTGACTGTTCCAATTAATTGATTGTTTATGGTAAATTTTTCTTGATAAGATTTGCTTTGTTTTATAGAATATCAACTTGTTGTTACCATTGATAAAGAAAAAGGTAGAAAGGTCTCCACATAAACCAGCTTCCCAATACTTATACTATATGCCAGTGTTTCTCAACCTCTAACGAATCGTCGCCCCCTTCAACGTAGTATCGCCCCTTCAATAAAACCATTACGTAGTATCGCCCCCTTCACTTCAAAATTCTGATGCCGAGGGCCAAGGCTAACGCCAAATTCGTACTGCATTGAGTAGATTAGTGACTAGTATAATGTTATTTGTTTAATTATTGTACGATATAATGAATAAAATATCAAATTATTCTTAATATAATGTTATACTATATCGCCCAGAAAATTGTTTTTCGCTCCCCCCAAAATATAAATTGTTACTAATCGCCCCCTCAACATGGAAAAACGCCCACATGGGGGCGATATCGCCCCCGTTGAGAAACACTGCTATATGCTAATCTGTCTCGGCCTATTGATAAAGTGTCATTATGTAGTTTTATTTGAAGATTTTGTTTTCTTATTTCATAAAAAGATGAGAGTAGGTGTTTTCGTATAGTTCATGAATCCTTTGTTAGGTCTGGTGCCATCTGCATATTCTTCCAATCATCCAGTAGGTTTTGTTGTTTCTTTTTTATAAAAGCAGTAAAAATGTGGTCTCGGATCTGATTATTTCTAAATGTTAATTTTATAACTGGGTTCGTTGACTTGGTTAGTTTCTTTATTTCTAAATGTCTTCCTGTGATACATTTTGTAAATTTAATGTTGAGTTAATAAAATTACAAATTTCTGGTTTGGCAATATTTTTCAAAATGGGATAATTATATAGTATTATGTTATTATGATGGAGTTCGTTAACTAAAGCATCCATTTTATACTGCATAAGTTCTTCTTCCATTTTTAAATTACTAAGTGAGTTGCTGGAGTTAGTCGGTGAAATAGAACAAAGTACATTTAACTCACCTGCAGATTTCTGTGAACTTTGTGATGTTATATCAAAATAAGAGTCAATAGCAACTGAGGAAGATTCTTGTAAGTCTTTATCCACATGTAAGTTGAAGTCTGTTTTAAGTTTGGAGTTAGTTGAAATTGGTTGGTCTTTTTTTCTTCCCAGTTTAGATCAGTTTAATGTGGTCTTCCATGTTTTACTAGTGAACGTTGCATATTGGTGAATGTTTAGTATTTCTTCAGAAGATATTAATTTGTATCTAGTTTCAAACTTTTTTTGACAATTTAAGTTAACCAGAGCCAATACACTAGCTTCCTACAGGTTATCAAAGTGCGTAGTAAAAGTCACCAGCAGCTCCGGTGGTCAAGTCCTATACCCATATAATGTAAAATAGCAAGGCAAAAATATTGGGTGATCTGAAAAGACCGAGAGAAGAGGGAAAAAAATAAAATTTGAAAATACATGTCAATATAATATTTTAGAGTTCAAATCTATAAAATAGTTTATTGTTTGGTAACTGGATGAAAATATTATATTCCTCATTTAAATCAAATTTTCTTAGACTTGATCATTCCATTTAATTTTGAGATCTTTGTGAAAAGTGATGTTAATATTAAGCAGAATAATGTAAGCTTCATGAGAACGTTTTTCATCTGAAGTCAAAAAAATTCTTTTCGAAATTGAATTGTAAAAAACAGAAAATGACACTTAAATTTTTGTTGATTATATATAACACTATACTCAATATTTGTTAATAATCAAAAACATACAGTTGAATTTTTATTGAGCTATGATATGACTAATAAGACTAAGCTAAAAATTAGCAGTATGTGCCAGATGTTATTAATTATTCTGATAACCACTTAAAAGGCATGTTAGACTAATTGTCTAAAACACCTTTAAATTAAGCAAATTTGAAATATCTTCCAATTCTGATAGTCACCTGAGACCAAGAATTACTAACAAAAAGTTTGCAAATTCTTTTTATTTATATGCATTTCAGATTTGCCTTGCCAAATCCCTTTTTAGTCTACAAAGTTATAATAATAAACTAGTTTTTAAAATATAATCATTGATATAAATTTAAAAAACTTACAAAAATATATCATTTGCAACAGAAACCATACTTTCTCATTTTTTTTCTTTCAATTTGTCAATCACTGGTATTTCTGATAACCATCATCTCACATCATGTAACATTTTACTCTTATCATTATATGACATCATTCCAAGTATCATCAACTAACATTCCATTATTTAAATTAAGTTAACATTATTCATAATTGCAATATGTTCTTTAAATGTATATAACTATAATTCTTGCTTTAAGAATAGAATTTTAAGATTATTCTTGCTAATTGTAGAATATTTTATTCTATTATTATCTGGACTTGATATTCCTGCTCTTTTAATCTCATCTTCAATGTTCTTTTCTCTACCATAGCATAAAAATGAAGTAGATAAAACAATAAATTTATTTAATATTAAAAAGAAAGAAAAAAAATAGCTTAAAATGGAAACTTAAAACAGATATTAGTAAAATAACAAAAAGAAATAATAAAGGTAAAATATTAATAGCAGATAGAAAGGCAAAGAATTATCTGTAGAGAGGACAAACAGGGCACTGGGATTGTGTAAAAAATTCCACTATTATATTCATATGGGCAACCTTTTTGTCACTTGTCTATATCACAAAACATCATCTTCAGTTATGATAACAGTACAACTTTCAGAGTTCCAAATTGCGTAGTCACAGTTGTAACATACAGAAATTGAAACTGCTTTTCATGTTTCTTGTAAAATTCAGCTTTATGCACTTGGAACCTTTTGATTGGTGCATGCTCCAATTACTTATATTATAGCCCAATAAAAATTCAGCTGAATCATTTGATGATTTTAGTTGAAAACATTATAATAATTCTATTTATCTAATTTTTTTTATTATTGTTGTATATGGTCAATTTTGTATTTGGGCCTCAAAAAAACTTTTACAAGCTTTAATAACAGTATACTTTGTTTCATATAATGAGAAAATTTGAAACAAAAGCATCAGAAACATGTTTGGAAAATGTGTTTTATGTGTAAAATATGTAAAGCATAGCTAAAAAGTTGGGAATAATTTATTAACAATGCAGAGTAGATTTGAAAATTTCAAAAATAATTATCATATAATTGCAAATTTTATTAATTTTAGAATAATAAAAGTTACATATGATAATGTTTCATATGAAACTTAGTTAAATTGCTTTAAAATTAATACATAACATTTAAAACTTTTATTTATTTAATTTTATGTAAAATGCAATGCAATAAAATATAATATAATAATAATTTTCACATTTTGTAAATAATATAAATATAATATTAATAAAGACATTATTCAAAAATTTATTATTATAATTATTTTTTATTAATAAAAATATGCTTTTACTGTAATGGAAATAATAAATTTTTAAGTGCTTTCCTAGGAAAGAACATGAAAAATGTGAATTTGAATTACATGAAGTTTATGCCATAGATGTTTTAATTAGTACAGGTGAAGGAAAAGTAAGTTTAATTAAATAATTTGTTATAATTTGTTATTTGGAATTTAATTGTTTAATTTATATTCAAGGGTCGAGAAATGGATACACGTACCACTGTTTATAAAAAGACAGATGAAATTTATCAGTTGAAGATGAAAGCTTCTAGGGGTATATATTAATTTTTCACTAAAGTATTATATATAAATTCCTTTTTATTATTTTTACTTATATTTATTTATTTCTTCATATTATTGTTTGTCTTTTTTTTTCTTATAATTTGATTCAAAGTTCTTTTTTATTTGCTCTATTATCTATTATCTTTAGTCTTTTTAAATAAAAAAAAAAAAAACCCTACTGAATTTCTTTTTAATATTACAGTTAGGTAAATTAATAAGTAAATTTTGACATCTATGTAATAATGTTTAAGAACTGTTTGATAATTTCAAAGTATAAACAAGCAAAGTAAAAGATTAAAAAACATTTAAAATACAAATTCTAATTTCCTCTTGCTTGTTTATTTTTTTAAAATGTTGATTAAATTTATTACATATATATGTAATAAATTTAGAAATTTCTTTTACCTTAAAGAAATTTCTAAATTTATTTCTAAAGAAAGAGATTACTTATATATATAATATGATTGTTTAAAGCAACCTGCTTAAAAACATTGTTTATTTTGTAAATACTGCTGACAATTATACCTTATAAAAGAAAGAGATTACTTATATATAAGTAATCTCTTTCTTTTATAAAGAAACAATTATTGCTAAGTTAATAAAAAGAAAATGTTCCCTTGTTATACATTTTAAAATATTTATATGTATATGAAAATATAATGTGTTTAGCAAAATTTGAATTTAATGAATAAACTAGAAATAGACTTGAACACTTCAAATAATATTAAACTTTAACCTGTGCTCTCTCACACTTTTTGAACTTGCATAAGGCAGTGATTTTTTTAATAATTTTTTCATGCATAATTAGTCTGCACATAATTACTGTTGCTCAAAATTCACAATTCTGAAAAATTCTGTTATATGTGTTCTCTGCTCTGCATATGCCAAATTTTAATGTCATGTGTTATTTAGTTTATAAAGCATTGTTTTGTTTATAGAACAGTGTTCTTGCCAGCTCTCTCTGTGGAAGCCCTTCAAACTTTGCTATAGTATGTACTAATGTGAAACAAGTTTATCTGGAAATAAATGATGGAAGAGTTGAGGTGTTTTTCAGAAGTTTCTGTATTATTGAGGCATGAAATAAATCCACAAAGCCATTTAAACTGTTGAAACTCATATTGCGCAAGTTAGCTTATAGAGACAAGCATTCATTGTAGTAGCAACTTGTAGACCACATATGTCATTACATCATGCAAAGCTGACAAACATCCATGATATTATGTTTTGATGATATCCGAGCAGAAAATTGCTACCTTACAAATGTGATCGTGTTACGATGAAAAATTGTATTCATTTGTATGCGTTAACAGTTTTCTGCAGCAGTTCAGTGATAAGCAGAAAAATTTTTTTGACCAATATTTTTACATAAGTAGATGAACAGTGTGTGCCATGAGGATATCATGGAGATATAGCTAAGTAAAAACTTGGTAATAGTTTACAGGAAGTCATGGGATTTTATTTTCTGCAAAAAAAAATATTTCAAAAACTCACCACCTGCAGGGAATGGCACTGTATGCAATATTGTTAAATGAAATAAGACATGAAGACATCGGTTGAAAATGTTTTTAATTGTTTCTAAAATGTGTTACAAAGCATGTTCATGTGGCATCCACCATTTTCTGAAAGCAAGTTAAATCACATTATTGTGTGAGAACACAGAAGCTCTTAGTATAACGTAGGAACGTTACAGACATGTTGGTGTATTGCATTTTTCAGTTTCACCAAATTGTTCATTTTTATTTTCATCCGATGTCTTTGTGTCTTATTTCGTTTAACAATATTGCATACAGTGCCATTTCCCACTGGTGATGAGTTTTTAATAAACTTTTTTTTTTTGTGGAAAATAAAATCCCATGACTTCCAGTAAGCTATTATCAACTTTGATAACATTTTGTCCAGTAGTTTTTCTTTTATGACCATTTCAAAGTGGAACTTTAATTATAAAGACCATGTATATTACTGTATCAAAAATCAATTGCATATAATATTTTGTATGAAATTTATAAAAACAAAAATAGAACTGATAATAAAACATAATCTGAAATATAAATAGTAAAAACTGAATTTTATAGTTAAAAATAATCNGCATTGCTAGTTATACCTGAACCTCTGTCTTACCATTAATTCCAGCTCTATTAACTAATTTAGATATAACAATACTGGTCATTTGCAGCACTGACTGAGGATGACTTAGCACACATGACCCTCTATGGTTTTCAGACAACATTTTTATTCTGGCATAATATATTTGTATATAAACAACTACCTGATATATTGCCAAATAATCTGCCAGATTTGTCGCACTGTATTACAGATAATAATAATTAGAAAAAAATTAGTTTGGCTAGAAGTAGGTAATTAAGCTACTATCACTTGATAGATTTAACAATCAGAAATTAAATTATTCTTTTCTTCCAGAACACTAAATTTAAAATTAATTTAATTCTAATTATTAATTTCTCAAGAAATGAAGGCATAACCACCTACCTCTAGCCAAATTTATTTGTATCTAATTATAATTAATATAGCCCAATAGATAATTGGAAGATTATTTGGCAATATAAATAGATTGAGTAGTTGTTTATAATGTATATAAAATTTATTTATTTTCTAGCATTTTTTAGTGAAGTAGATAAGCGGTTTGGAAATATGCCTTTCACATTAAGGTAATACTTGTTTTATGAGTAAATACATTTATTTAATAATATGAAATTATGCTGCATAGATAATTTTTTTTAGATCTGTTACTGACTCAAAAAATACATGTACTGTACTTTTGCAGATTGTCTGGCAGGTCAGTTTATGAGAGGTTACACATCCTCTCCAGAGGTTACATAAAAAACGAAATGAGTTACATCACATGGTGTCACTTAGATACCAATTTTTTATTCTAAAGTTGTGAAACTCTCAGCATTACATCAAAAACTATGTTTAATTTCTTCATTTTGAATTTTTTTATAATAATGTAAAATACTTGTGGAATTCTGAAAGTGCTTTTTTATGTTTATTTTATTGTAATTTGATTCAAAAATGCAAAAATAAACATTAGATTTCAGTATTTTACTGTAAATTATGTCAACTTACAGGATTAACATTTGCTTTGTGTGAAATTTGATAGGGTGTTATCTTTCAAGGTCAGGATAGTAAAACTTTATTACTTTTATGGTGATTGTCACTGCAGCCCACACTAACTACTACTGCCACTACCAATAAGTCACTATTGTTTTATTATTCTGTGAATGAAACCTCTCTTCCTGGTTTTAAGTCAGTTAGATTACAATGTTATTTTATTGTACTTGAAAGAGTGTTTTCTTTAACATTTATTTAATAACTACTTTTGTTAGCTCTGATTAATTTTATTTTTTAGTCACAGTTTAACTGGTATGCCAGTAACCCCAGGTTATTGGCATGTTAGTCTCCTCTGGTTATATGCAATATGCTGGTCAATCTGCTAAAATATAGAGTCCATACAGGTTATTCCATCTGTGATTCCTGTGTGTGTATATACAATATATATATTTAAATATGCTAAATATTTAATGACTAACAAATGTGTTTGTTTGATATATCCAAATTAAAATGAGATTGTTAAAATTTTTCTTTACACAAATTAATTGTCCAAAAATAGCTCTTTATTGATGTACTAATTTAGTATGTTAACTGTTATAATGCTAAAAAGAAAATAAACACTATGGTTATGCAGAATTTATTTTTGATAAAAATGTTTAAATTGTTGTAAAATGCTTAGCTCTCTTATGTTATGCACTCATAAATGAAATCACAACACAACGAAGAAATATGTTTAGCCACATGCACGTTGTAGGACCAGTAGAGGTGACAGATATATGCAAATGAACAAACAAAGATATGCAACAGACCCTGTTTATTCACTAATGAATGTTGCCCACAAGGGCAGCTATACAGTGAGAATACTATCAATGAGGCAATTAATGGTTCTGTAAGGTATTTCTTGCCAAGCTGCATCCACTTCGGCGAGTGTTGCTTGTACAGTATGTGGCAGCGGTTCGCAGTGCACCTCACATTGGTCAAAGTCCCACAGGTGTTCGATGGGAGAGAGATCCAGCAAGGCTGCCAGCCAGGAAAGGATGTGAATTCCATTCAGGATGGTGTGAGAGTGTCATGCGACTTGCAGTCAGGCATTATCTTGCTGGAACACCATGTCAAGTGCACAGTTGTATGTGCCATAGGCCTCACAATTTGTGTGAAATACTGGTCCACTGTCAGAGTACTAGAAATGTGCACCAGGGCTGTCTGTTGATCAAACATAATGTCCAGTATGAGGCTGGTGTAATGCTTGGTGAAAAGGGCTGGCATGTAATGTTTCCAGGAGACTGCCACACCCATTATTCCTCCACAGACAAATGGGATTCACCCATAAACAATACTCAATGCCATTTAGTGGTCCAGTTGTGATGACTATGATAACATGTTAGACGTGCAGCCCTATGTCAAGTGGTTAATTTAAAGTCAGGTTTTCAAAAACACCATTGACGACGACTCTCTTTCCTGCCAAAACTTTACTGCTTCCATTATAAGTTTTATGGAGAGGTGGAAAGAAGTGTAATGATCTTGAATGCATTTGTGCTGGACCACTATTTAAATAAGAAAAAGACTTGTGTCAGCAAATTTTTTTCTTATTTAAATAAAATTATGAAAATTTTTATATGACATAGCTAATTGCATAATAAATTTTATGCTAAGTTTTTCGTTTTTTTAAAGTGAATAAAGTGTTTTTTTTATTAAAAAAAATATATAATTGTGTGCAAAATGGCCTTAAATAGACTTGGCTGAATATTATATAATAGCAATGGAAAATGCAGAGACCTTAATAGGTCAGGTAATGATGTCATAATTGGACAGGAATCACAGATGGAATAACCTGTATTGACTCTGCATATAGATTGTTAATAGTTCAGGAAGAATTTCAAATAAAATATGTTTGATTAATGTTTTATATTTTTAGTTGTGTATTGTATATTTTATATATTTTCATGTAGTAGTGAAAAGACTTAAGTTTGTAAACATATTGATTTGTGTCAAGATGCATTTTTTTGCATCTACAAATGTCTGTTAATTATAACACTACTAATGAAAAAATAAACAAGTTAATCGTTTTCATCAATATCCTATAAATTTCAAACTTGATATCAATACCATATCTCAACAGTGAATGTACAGTACCTATTATCTTTGACTTAGTTTTATTTTTAAAATAATATAGTAGGTAAATTGTCATTTTCACAAATATACTTTAAACGATATATTAATGAATTTTAATTGATATTTTGACAGTTCTCCAGAATAAGATATTTGATACTGTTATTAATACAGTAGAGCATTGATTATCCGACTCAATTGGGGACTCAGGTTAATCGGATAACCGAAAAGAATGAAAAAATACATTATTACTATAGTATATTAGTATATCCCATATAATTAGTATATTAGTATATCGCTATTAACCAACTTCATGTTGAATTTTCATTGATGTTAAGCCTAACAAATTTTTAAAAAAATAATAATCGTCGCTATTGTATCGTTAAAAATTATTTTAAAATTATTTTATTGCTCACAAAACAAACAACCACTCATAATTAGAAAATTAAGTCTCGTTTAAATACTGGCCTCCCTTCAATGGTCGAGCCGATATTGCCAGCTAAAACACGCAAAAATTTAACAAAAATAATATTAAAGTAGCCAAGACATAGCCAAATATTGTAGTGCCACATCACTGGCGGACATTTGAAATTTGCCGACAAGAACGGTCGGTTAACCGAAGTGACGGATAATCGATGCTCTACTGTATATCCCATTTTAAGTTTTAGACATATTTATAAACAAGATTTATGGTTATTTAAATTGTTTCGTTAAATTTTTCCATTTTTAATTTTTTAGGGCATTTGATGATGAGAAGAAGGCACGTATGGGAGTTGTAGAATGTGTAAATCATAAATTAGTTGAACCTTTTACAGTTTTATATGAAAAAGAAGGTAAATTTATAATTTATTTTTATAGCTTTGAAAAATTGATTAATAATTACATAATTCCCTATATATTAGATAGATTTGAGTTATTAAATTAAAGATTGGTTTATAGTTTCGTTTTATTTATTATTATTATTGGAATACAATAATTCTTATTCATTGTAGAAATATACAAATTAGAAATTTTTATATTTTATTTCAAAATTTTCTTTTTTTTTATTATACTAATTTTTGAACTCTTGTAATGCTTGTGTGTAATAATATATTGATATTATGTTAGCTATATTCAATTGTAAATTTTAGACTTAAGTTGAATATACACTTCTGGCCATTAAAATTGCAACACCAAGAAGGAAAGCAAATAAAAAAAAGATATTTATTGTATGTAAACAGTATGGCATGAAGACAAAATGATTAAATTTGCAAGCAGTTTGGGGGTTTACAGGGTTGCGAAATTAGTACACACATTTGCCACCCCTGGCAGCTAAAACGTCCCTTATCCGGTTAGGCATGGAGTCAAACTTGGCTTGGATGACAGAAATGGGCAACTCATTCCATGCTGCTTCAAGTCTGTGTCACGCTTTATCAACCGTATTAGCTGGAAAGGGGTGGCAGGCCAGTCTCTCAGCAACCCATGACCAGATGTTTTCAATTGGTGAGAGATCTGGAGATTGTGCAGGCCAGGGCAACAATCGAATACCCTCTGTATTGAGGAAGGTCAGAACACGACGTGCAACATGAGGTGTTGCATTATCTTGTTGGAAGATGGCATTTCGCAGGCCTCAAAGATAGGGCACAACCACTGGACGTAAGATGTCAGAAATGTACCAATCTGTGTTCAAATTACCATTGATCCAAACTAGAGATGTGTGTGTCGTGTGTCGTACCAATGGCTGCCCATATCATCATACCAGGTGCAGAGCCCTAAGCTGATATCGAATGCAAGCAGGTGATGAGCGGTCTCCTCGGAGCCTCCAGACACGTATATGGTCATCAGAATGCTGCACACAGAACTGGGACTCATCTGAAAAGACGACATTCTGCTACTCCTGTATTCAGCTTTGTCATTGGGTGCACCAGAGTTGCTGTCTCTCTCTATGCTGCATTGTCAAGGGAAGCCAAAGTAATGGTCGCTGTGCTGACAGTCTATGCTGCTGCAAACATCGTCACACCATACAAGCAGATACTGGATGTGCTGCAACAAGCTCATTTCCTGACTAATGGTTCGTGATGTGGTTGTGTGGTTTTGCACAGCCGACCTCACAATATGTCTGTCCTCTCAGGTGTTATTCATGGGAGGGCATTGAGATCCTGCATGCTGTTCAGTAAGACCCTCAGCAACCCATCAATTCCATATTCGTATGACAGTAGTTGGATTTCGACCAGTGTGGGTGGCAATATTACGGAACGATAATCCACACTCTCGATAGGCAATGATCCTGCCTCTATCGAATTCCAACACTTGCTGGTAAGCATTTCTTCTTGTTATTCGAGGCATAACACGATATTCTAATGAAATCCCGACCTTACGAAGCAATTTCTGAATGAAAAATGCACTGCACAACTTTTCTTTTATGCAGTGCTTTAGAGGTCATTTGTCCCTCCTGCATCATCTAAATGTGCTGAAATACTAATCATTTGCATATCCTAACCTCTTCTTCTTTTCATATGGTTTTGACGTTCGTATGATCATTCCTTCCTGGTGTTGCAATTTTAATGGCCAACAGTGTATAACACACTGGCACATTTGTGTAGTGTTTTTCTGAGGACTGTATGTCGTGCTGTATCGAACGTTTTTGATACTAGATTAACTTCTAAAGTATAATTTTTACTGTTTTTATAATTTTCAATGTATTTATTTTGTTTGAAAAAATAAAGAAATAATTTTTAACAATATAATAGCCACAATTATTATTTTAAAAAGTTTACATTAGGCTTAACATTGACGAAAATTCAACGCAAAGCAACACACAACAGAGAAAAATTTCAATACGGGATAGGTTAATATATTTTTTCATACAAAATCGGTTATCCAAAAAATAAGTTATCTGAACAACCTCAGTCCCCAATTGATTCGGATAAACAATGCTCTACTGTACTTAATTTACTTATAAATTTTATCCATTAAGGAGGAGGATATACTAAAATATTTATTTTATATGTTAGTATGGTGTCAAGAACTTCACAGGAATTGTTTATTTTTCAGTATTTTGATTTCTATTTAATATACATAATTTGCATATTCCAGGGGTGCAGAATATGTATGATTGCATAAATGAGGTTCAGCATAAATTTGCTAGAAAAAATAATAATACAGCAATAGCTGCAAAAAACAGAGTAATGTCTTATACAAGCCTACACACATTAATTGGAGAAAGTTACCAAATAAGGGTTCTTATGTTTTACAACTGAAATTGAAACATTGTTCTTTTTGTTCCTGATCAGTTTACTCACTTGCTACATTGCTGCCTGCTTGCACAGTTAAGTGTTTGGCAGTAAAGACAAATAGTTTTAGTTACAGAACCATGGTTTTGATATTTATGAAAAACTGAAGTAGAGCTTTAAAAAGAAATGAAAAAGAGATTGTTTCTATTTCAAAACTCTTGACTCTAATGCACAGGTTCCCAACCTATGGGTCGCAACGGGCTTTCTGTGGGGTTGCCAACTTATACAGTAAACTAAAAAAAAATATTCACTATAATGCAATTTTTATTTTTAATGGTGTCTTGAAGTTCGAATAATTTCATATATTTTTTTTAAATTAAAATAAATGTAATCTAGGTATGCTATTCTGTCACAGTTGATTGAAAGGTGTGTTGAGAGTTTGAGAAGAATAAATTAAAAAGTAAATTATTCACTCATTTCTCATATGGAAAATTTGCAAATTAATGAACATGTTTAAAAACTTTTTTGAATTGTCTCATTTAAATAGCAATTAAATTAAATATTAAAAGTTTTTATTATCATTTTATAAATACAGTAGAATCTCGAAAACTCGTCCCTCGATAACTTAGCACTCCGGATAACTGGTCCACACCTTGGCAGGGCGAAAAAATCCTTAGTTCATTAATTTTCATTATAGACAGCTTTATAAAAGTATAAAAGCTCTCAAAGTATTTTTCTGAGGTCTGTCTTATCAGGTAAATTACTGTACACAGTGTATTCATTAATTTTCATTTTCATGTAGTGGCTCTATGCCTTCATAAAGGACGTACTTTTCCTTTGTTTAAGGGTATTTGGGCAGTTTATTCTCTGTTATATTCTGTACAAGTAAATACTGTACAAGTACAGTACAGTATTTTCTGAGGAAATACTCGTACTTATTTTTTTTAACCCCATTCCCGATAACTCGGCATTTTCACAAACTCGGCCACCCTTCGGTCCACATTAGGTCGAGTTTTCGAGGTTCTACTGTATTATTTTTATTTATTTCTTTATTTGTTTTTTGTAAATTTATCATAAAATAAAAAATATTCACATTGAAATTATTTTAAAACATCATAAAAACATGATCACATTTTCTGATGATGATGAAAAAGTGAGTCAAGCATAAAAAATTTTTATTTTGCAAAAAAATTGGTACACTTAAATAATTTTTCAGAGTAAAGTTGTCCAACAACATTGTAAATAATTTTTGTGTTTTTGGACATAAAAAAGTCTATTTAATTAATACTCCCTTAGGACATATCCCGAGATATCTCGGGCAAGTTACATAGCGTTACATAAAATGCGGTCCTTAAGGCCATTTTTGAAATTTTTTAAAAATTTTTGGAATGTTTTTTGTCTCCAAATTTTTTCAAAATTTTTTTCCCGCACAAAAAAATTTTATTGCGATTTTAATTTGCCTTTAATGACACACGCTTCACGCTTAATTGCTTTTTAGTTTTTTAATGGGAGTTTGATATCAAATTCCATTCATCGTTCTAAAGTTGTAGTGCACTGATTTTCCTTCGGTAAAGTTATTTAAAGCTAGTTTCTGATGTCAAAAACGACCTCCGATAGTTTTTTAATTTTTTTAATTAATAGATTTTATTATATACAAGTTTAATTAAGTCGGGGGTCGGAAATCTCAATAAAAATTTTAATTTTTTTAAAAATATTTAAATATATACGTCCAGCTAGTATTTACCCTACTATAAACCCATCGCCTCCTGAGACTAATATGAGAATGTCCCGGGAAATCCAACTCCAGCTGTGTAAACAATGACTCATCAGCGTCAGATTTCATAGAAAGGCGAGACTAAGGAAAATAAAATTTGAAACTTTTTCTTCAAAATTAACGCATTTCTTTCGTTTTTTTTTTTTTTTCAGTTTTAAGTATTTTTTATGTTTAATTATCAGGTCAGTCCATAAGTTCATGCATATTTTTATCTACAAAGAAAGCAACAAAAAATTTTAATTAAATTTTATTTCAATCTATAATGTATTCACCATTATTTTGTACAATTTCTTGCCATCTTGATGGTAGCTTTTTAATCCCGTCTTTGTAAAATGATTTCGGTTTTGAATCAAAATACAGTAGAGCATCGTTTATCCAAATCAATTGGGGACTAGGGTTGTTCAGATAACCAATTATGTACGAAAAAATATATTAATTTATCCCATGTTGAAATTTTTCTCCGTTGCGTGTCACTTCGCGTTGAATTTTCGTTGATGTGAGCCTAACGAAGACTATTGTATCATTAAAACTTATTTTTTTGTACAAACAAAATAAATATATTGAAAAATATAAAAACAATATAAAATTATACTTCAGAAGTTAATTTAGTATCAAAAACGTAAAATATTTGAGTAGCCGAAGATATAGCCAAAGATTATAGCGCCACAGCACCAGCGAAAATTTAAATTTGTCGACTGGAATTCCTTTGGATAAACGACGCTCTACTGTATTTAGAAATAGCCTTTTTTACATTGTTCTCATCCTCAAAAGTTTTCCCTTTTAAAAAATTCTGCAAACTCCGAAAAAGATGCTAATCACTGGCAGCAATATCTGGCAAGGTTAATGT